GAAATGTTGACATCAGAATCCATAAGGGACCAAGAATGAAGAATGAGGTCAGGAATGATGAAGATCAAGTTAGGTTTCCCGGGAAGAAAAGGAAAATTAGGGACTGTCATTAAAGATTTAGATGCTTATACAGATGGGAGACCAGGGACACCAATCAACAAGAACATCTCCCGGGGCTTCAAAGGACCTGGCTGCCTCTGCTCAAGTCTCCTACACTTGATTCTTCCTCAGGAGTTTACCCCAGGGGCCACTCAATCCGCTTGTCTTCCCGTATGATTTGGAATGGGTGTTTATCAAATTTGCTTCTGGGATACCCTCAGCCCCCATCTACGCCTGATAAACTAACAACCCAAAAAGCAAGAGGACGGCCTTCTGTGAAGCTCCAGTGGACATGACCGTGCAGGCAGAGAAGGGCCAGCAGATGAGTGTTCTGCGCAATGGGATACATACTGGATAAGGGTTACCTCTACGAAGGGCAAGGAAGAATCTGGGAACGACGCATCAAAAAGAACTTTATCTGTAATGTTCTATCGCATTAAAAGAATTTGGAGTTTGAAATGTCAATTATAAATTTTACATAATGGAAATAAATTGCTATATTATGCTCAGTGCCTTTCAACATTTTTAATGAACCAAAATAAAGAGAAAGAAAATTTTAAAAACGGTGAGAGAGAGGATAGGGGTAGGACTCGAGAGCGAAGCGAGAGGAAGCAGGGAGTTTGATGGGAGTGAGTGGATCAGGGGAACATTCATGTACGAAGGCTCTGCATGGCTAGCAGTGAACCTAGTGGTAAACTGACACTGAATCCCAGCTTTACAGAGGACCCTACAAGTACCCAAGCCAAAGGAAGAATGAAGAAGTTTTAGAAGCCACGAATATAGAGACAGACATTCCTAGAATCCACAGAAGGACTCCGAGAAGTCATTCCAGGAACAGTGCTGCCCGAGGCTCCAAAGGAGAGAAGAGAATTATAGTCAACAGGTAAATTTCCATCGATGTTCTCAGAATTTCATGGACCTGGTAACCATCTGAACCTTTCATCACACATTTTGAATTCATTTGTGTAGTCTAAAATGGCAGTGTTGCTCTGACGTTAGAATATAAGCCCATGAGAAAGAAGAATTCACTTTACAGTTAAATTCAGAATCACTTTGTCAGGAAACTGATCTTTTGTATAATGGAGGTCCTATACTACATCTACATTCCTGAAACAGATGCATGGGCAGCCAGCATACCATCTGGTGACAGCCTACCTGCTATGCTAGAAGCACAAAAGTCTACTCCCTTTTGCTGTAAGAAAGCTGGGTTGTTGTTGTTTTTTTTCTTTTTCCTTACAAGACTTTAACATCCAAACCCAGCAGCTCATAAAATTTTTGAGGTTGGAGAGAAGAAAAAAATCCCAAACATGTATTGATTGTTTCCTTTCATTAACTGAATACTGGTAATGGGGGAGGATTTATAACTGCGGGGAAAATACATCCTCTCATTCATCCCAGCTCCTTAATTAAATCAATTGAAAGGTTCTAATTTTATTATGTCTTTTCAGATGCCTACATTCATTCATCGGGAAGGGAAGCATTTGGAAGGTCCGAGTCACATTCGGTTACATTGCCTCAGAAGAAACAGTCTTATAGTACACAAGGGATTGTCCGAGACAATCTACTGACAGGTTTCCTGCCCCCACTTTGTGAGGCTGTCAGAGAGCAAAGCAACCACACACACACTGGGTCTGGTGTCTATAACCCACATGGGACAGGAATGCAGAAGCTTAGCCTCCTCACTTGACAGTCATACTTCAGTCCCGGGAGAAAGTAGGATTTTACCCCAGCCTCTGGCTAGCACAAAACTATCACAATTTAAGAAAAAGCATTTCTGTCTCCCTTCCTGGAACAGATGGGAATGTCAAAATAGAAGAGAAAACAGTGACACATTTCAAAACAATGCAATAATGGCACAAAGAAATCTATACGAGGTCAACAAAGGAAGATCTGAGCCCAGAGGTCATCCAGGACACGAATTCAGTGCATTTGTGGCTATATTTAAGCATCAGGGATGTTTTGTTTCTGGGAGAGAGAAACACAAAATCGAACAAAATGAGCAGGAGATTAGTGGGAAGTGTTCGTATATGGGGACTAGCTTGAATGTAAACACCAGTGTCTAACTCTATGATCAGTAATGTTTTTGAATCATTTGTCCCCCCTCCAAAAAAAAAATTCTTAACCATGAAAAAAGGGGCTCCTGGAAAAGCTACTTTAAAAGAGAAAGAACTTGCCAAATTGTACCACCCTGGACTCTTGACTGATTGCAGATCCATTTAAACAACCTCTTTTCCTAATTTTCCCAAAATGTTGCCTTCTCATGGCACGTAGGTACGTAACACTTTATGGAAGGCCTAAAACCATGGTAGGAATTGTAGCACGGCACCCTGCATGCCGCAGTAATATAAAATACAACAGCTTATTGTATGCTGCTTCGTTAAATGAAAAATGATGTGAAATTATATGCAAATTCTGATTGTGTTAACATTACCCATGATGGAGGGTGAGGAAACAGACAAAGGTGTTAATAGCAGTTATCTTAAGGTAATAAAATTACCATCCATTTTTTTCTTCTCCTTCCCCCAAACTGTCTGCATCTTCTCTGATGAACTTGCCCTTCAACAGGCAGACGTAGGTGGCCTTCTCTTCTGGCTCCCATACCTTTGGTTTTCCTTCCTGTATTTACAAAGCAGTGTCATCTCTGCTCCAGCTTATCAAACTGTTTCAGTTTCTGTGGCTCTGCCACTTTCGCATCTGCAACGAACTGCATTCCAGTTACTCATCAGAGGTGACCTCCAACTCTTTGCTGCTCAATATTTTGCAAAAGTTCATTTGCAAATACACAGGATAAATGGAGACTTGCCTGAAGGTTCTTTCTTTCCCCTTACAGAACTACGCCGCTGGCAAAATGCCAACAGTGAGGGACGTTCAATAAAGCAGTCCTATAGCATTCTGTGGCAGTCACTGTGGGGCATTTGAGGAAACCAACCATCAGAGCTCAAAACATCCTCTTTATGAGCCCCTGTGAGAAAACTTAATTCTGTTCTCAGTGCCAGGGACAACTGAGCTCCTTTTAAGAAACTTTATTTTTAAAAAATCATGTAACCAAATGAGAGATTCCCCTTCTCCCCGGTTGCTGGGAATCCCAGAGCCAAATTTTCGTCCCACAGGCACACACTTTCTACACCCAACCTTGCCTTATTTCTCTCTCCCCTTAGTCCTCATTATATTTTGTATTCTTATTTTTCAAATTGTCTTAAAGTCTTCAAAACAAGAGAGTTATCAGGAAATCTCTTGCCTTCATATTATATAGGAAAAAAATTTGAAAAAGTGCCCATGGAATGATGGAAGCATATGATCCGAACTTCCTTTCACCCTTTAGCAAAAAAAAAAAAACAAAAAAAAAAAACCCAAAAAAAACAAAAGAAAAGAAAAAAAAAAAAAAGGCCAGCATCTTCTTTGGGAAAACAACACTGATAAAGGACGACGACTTATCCGAACTCCAGTATTTTCTCTAAGAATCCTGGGTTGTTTCCGTAAGAAAGCTGGATCTCTTTAAGAAGTTCTGAGCTAGCCAAATATGTGTATGCATATGCATGACTGGGACATTGTGTTGTACGCCGGAGACTGACATATTGCAATTGACTGTACTTATACTAAAAAAAAAAAAAAAAAAAAAAAGTTCTGAGCTAGCAAAATGTTTTCCTTAAAGACATTCAGTTCTTCTCTGTGGTCTGTCCCAGGAAAATGAGTGTGCGTGAGAGTCCCTTGATGCTTGTTTTGCATCAACAAAAGCACGTATTAATGTTTGATTTTTAGGGAAAGAGCATCCATAAAGCAGAATCCCACGAATTTCCGTTCCAGGTCCTTTCCACCCAGTAGTAAAAGGTTCTAGCTCTGCTCAGCTGGAGGTTGGTCAGCGTGAGGTATGCAAGCTTGTAATTCCAAGGCTGCCACTGCATAGACCCCCCATGTATAAAGGCTACTGTGTGATGGTCACAATGCCTTAGTCACTAAGAGGTCCCTTGGGTCTGAGAATGAAGTATTAAGAAGGAATTCCCGTAACTATTAAGGGTCAGAGAGAAGATACTTGCTTTCATGTTTAAAACATTCCATGCAATATTATCCAGAGCTGGCTTGGTTTCCCCCTTAAGTGAGGAAAATTTCTAGAAAATTTCTCTAGAAAAACTTCCACTGCTTTTGGCTGAAAGGGAGCTGTACCCCGTCACGGGGCTGTTCTTTGTGGCCTCAGTTGTGTCTTGTCGCCTTCCCCACAAAAATAAGTCCTCAAAGAGCCATAAGCAAAAACACTTAAACGGAGTGAGTTCTCACTACGGGCCTGGTGCCCTGCAAAGCTTTTCACTGAAGATCTCATTACTCCTCACCACCAACCTTCAAGCTAGGTCTATGCCCATGCTCACGTTGAGGCTCAGACCACTGAGTACCTAGTCCAGGGACACACAGCTCCCAGATGACTAAAACAGGACTCGAAGCCAGATCGGACTCCTAGTGCACACTCTTAAACATGACCTGATTGGGATCTACTGGTCCAGAAGAGCAGAAAGTCTACATTCTCTTTCCAGTGCCTGCCCACCCCAGCAGATCTAAGAACTCCCCAGGCACTTCCTCACAAACAAGAGGTCTCTGAACCCTTCTTGCTCCTAGGTAGCCCCTAGAACCGGAACTCGGATGTGCTCCTTTGATCCCAGAAGACCATAATAGCTTCCAAAAGAAGACAGTGGCTTCGGAAGACAAAGTCAGGCCAGAAACCTGGTGTTACGGACTTACAGTTTGCATCGCTCGCAAACTCATATGTTGAAGCCCTGGAAATAAGGTCTTTGGGAGATAATCAGGTTTGGATGAGGTCATGAGGGTGGGACCCCCATGGTGGCATTAATGTCCTTATAAGAAGAGGAAGACAGACAAGAGCTCTCTCCGCCTCGTGAGCACACTAAGAGAAGGCAGCCATCTGTAAGCCGGGGGAGAGTCCTCACCAGAAACCAAATCAGCTGGCACCTTTATCTTGGACGTCCCAGTTCCAGAACTTTGAAAAATAGATTCCTGGTGTTTAGGCCATCCAGCTTAAGGTATTTTGTTATGGCAGGTCAAGCTAACACACCTAGGGTCCCTTGAAGTTCAATAAGGTCACTGGCCATCACCGCCCGCACTGGAAGGCCCGGTCACTTCCAGTTGTCTCCACAGCAGTGTAGGTAAGCTGGACCTCTGCCCTAGTGCTTCTCAGTGAGAATGGCACGACCCCCAGAGGGTGTTTTAGAATTAGAAGGGCACAGTTTGGTTGTCACAATAACTGAAGGTGGGTTAGTGGCTTTTAGTGGGCAGTGCCAGGAACTCTAGACATCCTGAAAAGCAAGTGACATATCTTACTCATCAAGAAAAATGACCTATATACTAATCACTATATATAAAATAGATAACAAGGTCCCACTACATAGCACAGGTGTTAAGCTATAGTGAATACCTTGTAATGGCCTACGATGGAAAAGAATATGTATAAATGAGTCATTGTGCTGTATGCCAGAGATTAACACAACATTGTAAGCTGACTATACTTCAATTAAAAAAAAAATGACCCACATGAGTCAAACATCCAAAAATATTCTACCAGGCATTGAGGGTTTCTCCCCTGTTTATAATTATCTGAGCCTGGATCCTGATTTATATATAAGCACAGAATGTCTCGGCAAGGTTTTAACACATACTGAATTTTCCAGGAATGCAGCCGCCATGTCCACTAAAGGGTAAATTATTGGGGTTTTTTGTGTGTGTTTGGAACACCACCCTCTGTGGCTCACCATTTCAGAAAATCATATCACTTACAGCTAAGCCACTGAGATATGACATTCTCCCGCCCTCTGTCCCTGCATCAGCTGGCACATGTGACCGCTGTGCTCAGAGGCTCTACATGTGTCATTCCTGACTTTCTATTCTGTCTTCTGGCATAGTTGGGCCTTCCTGCTTTATTACACATTGATTTCCATTCCTTTTTTCCCTTTATACTATACTTGGGACATTAGGTTAATTATTTTTGCAAATAATGTATGTATGTGATATTACCTATGATTTTCATTGCAAGATAGAGAAGGGATATTTCAAGATATTTCTTATTAAAAGGGGAAACTGACAGTGTTGAGACCCACTCTCTTCTCCCACCAAACAGAGCACAACCTCCTGTCTACACAACATGGATTTTCAGGTAAGAAGAAGGAGGGGTCCTTACACAGAGTCATCTCAGCTGAGGGTGTCCCATGTCAAATGTGACTTGGGCTCCCATCTGCCGTCTCTTTAGATTCACCCGCCCAAGCCATCTGCTCAAGGCCAAGACCCTTTGCGTCTCCAACAAGGCAACATCCGCACCACTGCTCACACCCAACACGTCTCTCTATCCTGAGTGCTTTCACAGAGGCCTCTTTATCCTCCTAGGGTACTAGATCGCCAGCCCACCCTGGAGGTTTCTGTAACTTTCAATTCCTAGGAAACAGGTTGACATTTTGGTCCCTTCCTTCCTCGGAGGGTCACCAGAGTCCTTACGCAAAGGTACTTACCCCAACCCTTTCCTTCATACGTCAAGTGCTGTGAGAGAGAGTCAGGGCGAGAACTGTCTTTCCCCAGTTAGAAAAAGTGAGGCAGAGAAGGAGTTAAGGAGCTGACTCAAGGACACAGAGCTGGTGAACAGCAGAGCCTAGACTCCAACCCCAGTTTTTGAATCCAAATGCCAGCACGGGTCACGCCACATCAAAGTGATGAAAATGGAAAATGTTGCAAAGCCATCCCAGAGTTAAATCAGCCCATTCTGCAACCCGCTTTAAAATTTTATTCGTTCTTTCTTAAACAAGATAACCAGAGTCACCCCACAGACAAGCCGAGAAGATGTTATTTACAGTTTGGACAATATCTTATCAGTGGGGACCAGAAATCCTTCTAACACACACATACACACTCCCACCTGTTGCTAACTCAGGGGCATATGGATGGAACATCCGAGCAATTTAGAAGTTGACCTAGGGGCTGCAAACCTCACATCAGAATTATCAGACACTACTGCTATTCCCCTGCGCTCCCGACTCAGACGGCCTGCAGGGCCTGGGATAAAGTGACGAGTCTGGAGGCTGCCACCTTTTAGTGTGTGTGTTCCTCAGCACAGCGGGACAGCTCCACCTCTTTCTGCTCTGAAATTCCCTGTTGCTTTGACAGAGGTCTTTCTTCCATTCCCTTTCAGAACACGGGCACATCACCACTTCTCCTCGGTGGGCGCCCCTGAACTCCGGGACAGTAAGCCGTCCTGCTCGCCTCTCTGAACTAACCCGGAGCTATGAGCTACACGCAGATCATGAGTGAGGATGGCTGCAGGCTTCTGGGGCCCGGAAAGCAGTGCCTGCTACCAGCTACGGAGCCTCTCCAGGCTGCGTGCGTGGGGCAGGCGTGCACCCAGAGTGCCCGCCCGTCAGAGTCCACACCTCAAGAGTGATTCTTGTTCTGCATAATTTCTATCAGTGCACAAGGACCACAGATCACATTCAGTGGTTAAAATGACACACACTGGAACCCCACTGTTAACTCCTTTCCATGGAGCAACTTTAGCACAAGGGAAGTGTCTCCTGGGCCTAGTTCCAGACTTAACACAGCCAAGTTACATAAGGATTCCAGTGCAAAGTGTCACATCTGTGAGAGGTCCATGTGGCATCCTCCAAGGGACAGAACTCTATGAGGGCGTCAACCATTTGGGGTCTCAGTTCTGATCAGAGTAGGAATGTCAGTAGGTGACAGAAGGTATAGAGCCAGTACCGACTGCACACAGATCATCCGTATCCGTGTGCATACTGAAGCCTCCTAGTGCGGGTCCGTGGTTGTGGTCCCAAACATTACAGGAATGCCAGCACAGTTTGAAGAGACTGGACAGACCCTTCGAAGCTTAAAGAGAACCAAAGGAAGGCAGAGTTAAACAGCAAATAGTAACGTTCTGTGATCTCCAACCTTACTGAGTACAACATATATATAGCGGCCAAAATTTCACAGCCACACCCCATCACGAGACACTAGCAACCAAGGACAAAAATAAGCTATGAAAAAAACACATGACCCACGCAGGGGGTTCTGGGTGGGGAGAGAGGGTGATGAGCTCACAGAGACAGGTGAGGGCCAGGAGGTCCCAAGTGTCCATACTAACGGGGTTCGTCTTTGGAAGGGAAGACACTGGAAATTTCTCAGCAAGAGTAATGAGCACTGTAGGAAAAGCTGAGAAGCTGAATTTGGCAGTCCAGTTACAGATGACCTGTGAACAACATGGTGTGAACTGCATGAGTCCACTTTTATGTGGATTTTTTAAACGTATTGGAAAAATTTTTGGAGATTTGCAGCAATTTGAAGAAAACTCACAAACTGTATAGACTAGACATATTAAAAAAAGGTTATGTCAGGAATGCATAAAACATATGTAGATACTAGTCTACCCTTACGTTGGCATAAGGTGAGTGATATTTAACCTAAAATTAATAATGTGTTCATTTTCTTACTGTTTCATAACTTTGCTTTCAAAGAATTACATTACCATACAGTGTGCCTCTCTCCTAACTGGAGAAACTGCTCATCAGCCTATCATCAGCACAAGTGTTTTTGTTTTTGTTTTTTAATGAGGCAACACTTCCAAAACTGTATTATGAATATGCCACAAAAATCTTATAATGATTCATTCATTAGGGCATAGGCCAGGCTACTGTGGAGCCATCCTACCAATTACACCGGGCTACCATCGAGCAGTCGGATTGCTGCTTCTTAGTTATCAATGCATGAATCATGACACCTGTAAATAAATGAATTTCTTTTCATTTTTGACACTAGTGTTAGTAATACATGTAACACCAACAGTGTCTTGTATCATATTAGACAACATCTATGCAGGTACTAACAGACAATTCATCTTGTAAGCACACGATGTGAATTTACAGTATCAATACAGTACAGCATTAGAAGTGTATTTTCTCTTCGTGAAGCTTTTTCTTAACATTTTCTTTCCTCTAGCTCGCTTAATTGTAAGAATGCAGCATGTAATACATATAACATACAAACTGTGTGCTAACGGACTGTTTATGCTATCAGTAAGGCTTCTGGTCAACAGGAGGTATATGCAGGTTTTTCTCTTGACAGGAGGGGGGCATGGGCAACCCAACCCCCCAGTTGTTTAAGGGTCAACTGAATAAATAAAGGCTACAAACCATCACAGTATCTTATTCAATCCAAATAAAGCAAAGACTCCCCACCATACCCGCCAAATTTTTTAAAAATTAATAAGGGAATATTTGGGGAGAGAAACACAAAGAGTCCACCCCAAATCCTGCGAACCACACAAAAGGGCATAGTGTTTGCTGCTGTGATTGTAAACCCAACAAGCTCACTGCCAGGTCTGGACACAGGACGAGTATTTAGAGCTGAGCGAGACGTGAATGGCCAGCACCACTTCCTCCCAGGGATACTTCAGTGATTAAGAAAATAAAGATTCTAATGGAGCAGTCACTCTGTCTGACACCTGTCGGGAGAGAAAGACAAGCTGAAGAGAGATTGACCTCCTGATAAACAGTTCTTGTTTTTGCCTTCAATTTCTCAATAATCCTTGTTGCAATATTTCCAATAATTTCTCCAGTGAATCTTCCCCTGAAGCGGACCTTGATTGGAGGAAATGATATCAGATCCACAAGGCACCATTCCATTTCTCTTCATAGCTTGTGAAATTGCAGTCATGGTCAGGACCTCCGGAGATTTCTCAAGAGAAACCAGGCAGAAGGCTGGGCAGGGGTTGGGAAGTGGAATGAAGGAAAGAAAAATAAGCAAATGTATTGGAGGTGATGAAATTTTCCTTGCCAAGACAGAAAAAGAAATAATAACTACAGTGTTTGCTTCTTTCCTTCAAGTTAACAGAATTTCTAATGACTGCACTTGGCCTCATCAAAACTATAAGGGGACTATGATTTTTTCTTTTCTTTCTTCAAGGAATCTTCTCGAAGACTCCAGGTTTTACTGAGGTGAGCCGGTTTGGTGTGGACATGATAACACAAGTACTTCTTGGTGCCTCTAGTTTTGTTCAGTCATTTGATTTTTGCCTTGCTCAAAAAAAAAAAAAAAAAGAGGATGGAAGCCAGATTTAAGCATGGCCATTCAGGAGAAACCATAAGAAAGGATAAAACCTTACAGTGTGCCTTCCCAAAGCAGAGGACGTAGAGTTCCTCAGGAGACTGCAACTTAGACATCATCTAGCCATGTTTAGCATTAGCAGCCATTTCTTTCTATATGAGATTTAGAACTCAGCCCCTCTGGGCCACTTGCTTAGGCTGAGTAAGGAGGCTGACCTCTGCGTGAGCTCCTCCAAACTGCTGAAGGGGGATCATTCTCCTGAAAGTCTGTTCACAGTCCCCTCCCAGGCAGTAACGGTGTCATGCTCGTAGAGTACTTTGAACCTTCTCAGAAGAAAGGCAGTGCGCAAATTCAAGGCATTCTTCTCACGCTACGTAAGACCTAACCATCATCTTCCTGTTTCACATTTAGAAAACAGCCCCAGGAGCCAAGCGAGCGCTCTGGAATCGCTATAAAAGGAAGAGAAGATCTTCCATGACCTTCAGAAATTTTCCATTGAGTGTTTTGAAGAGTCTTTGTGCCAGCAAGTCCACTGTCTCTCCCTCACCTCTTTGTTCTTTGTTGGCGTCTTTGGCAAATGGAGGAGAGGAGTGAAGGAATGTGAAGAGAGAAAACTCAGTGATGACCCATCTTCCTTTCAGTCACCTGTTCACAGAAAGGTGCCCTTCTGGAGTTCACCAAGGGAAACTGATGGAAAGATCTGTTCCTGTTTTCCAATTCAATTTCATAAACATGGCAGACCCTACAAATACTTAAGTCATAATTTTTGCCCTCCAGGTGCTTACTACTTATGGCAGGAAAGGAGTGAGTTTTGATTGCAAAGAAGCATATAGGTGATATCGGGGTATTACGGTTAAGAGGATGAAAGGCAAGGATTAAAGAAAGACGAAGTCTCAGGTATGTCTCATTTCCCAAGTGCCCTCATGTCAATCCCAGCCCTCTCCCAACTTCACCTCTATCTATGCAAGACCTCCGATCTATTCTTCCAAATGGCCTTCTGTTATCTTCTTCCCAAAGCAAATCCAAAGAACATGGTCTGATTTGGGTCATTAACCATCAATTGTCCTTCAGCTGGGCTCAGTAACCATGAACCTTTCTTCAACTCTAGAAGAAAATCTTTCCCAAAGGGTGAAGCTTCTTTATTTTCCCTCACATGTAAGAATTGTCTATCCAGGAAAAACAATTAGGCCCAGAAAATGACTGTGGTAAACATACTCTCTGAGAGAGTTTAATTTCTCCTGCGGTGGGGGAAATAATTCTGAAGATCTCAAAACAGAATTTCAGTTTCTACCGGGTCTCAAGTCTGTTCCCACCAAAGTTTAACAAAACCACCACAATCGGCACTTTGTTATCCTATCGGATGATCAGCTAGACTCACCATCCCTTAAAGTTCAAAAACATACTTTTCTCTCCCACACAACTTTTTCAAAGCCTCCTTTAAGATTTCAGCAGAAGGCCCAGCTCCTGCTAAAAGTGCCTCTGATTACAATGGAATCCCCTTAACTCTTTGATCTGCCTCTCCATTTACGCCAGACTTCTGACTCTAGGAATCATTAAGTGGCCTTTCCTCTTTTAGATGGCAAACTCTGTCATGCCTCATAATTGAGTGGGCACTCGATAAATGAATGCTATAGAGCTCGGAGGAATAATACACTTCCTGTTGGCAGCAAATCCAAGAGAAACTTCCTTAGAAGAAAGGACTGTCAATTACCACTTAAACAAGCCTGAATTTTGGCTCCTGTAGAAAAGGCAAACAAAACAATAACAACTCACTCTCCAACAGCAGCCACATCGCTATCTGGCTGCTGCCCTCCGGTCCCCTGGCACACACGGCTGGTCCCCAGAAGATGCTCTGTGAGTCTTTGTTGGCGGACTGATTCATAAAGGCACGAGACTGGTGATACACAATCCATCCCTGATAGGTAGACACCAGTGGGGTTCCTAGCAGCCTGGCTGCGCAGAGCCTCTGACCTCCTGTGGGCCTTGGCTCTCTTACAGCTGACAATCTGGCTGAATGTGAGATGCGAGGCCGGGAGCAGGATGCACAAGGCGAGGACGGATGGGGAGGCTGTTCTGGAACATTGGCTCCTGTTTCCTCTGCAGCAGCCACCACGACGTCCCTGTCTCCCTCGGGGTGAAGTCCATTCAAGCTTCACCACACAGCTTTCCCTCCACACTACCCTGGGCTGGGCAGAGGTCAGGCTGGACACCGAGGGAATCATAATTAGAATGCAGATCACTTGGGAAGCTTCAAAACGCTCACACCCAGGCCCCATTTCCAGACACTGTTGTTGAGCTGGGTCTACAGCAGGACTCCAGTGATGATATTCTTAAAAGCTCTGCAGGGGATTCTAACGTTCAGACAGGACCAAGAACTGCTGCCTTCCAGCGTTCCAGTCCTGGGCCGCACCTGTCATCCCTTTGCCTCTCTTACACGGGAGCTGCTGGTAACAACAGCAACAAGAAAGGTCATTATTATTAACAATAGTAGCCAGCAATTCCTGAGCATTCATCATACACCAGGCACTTTCCCAACCGCTTTACTTGTATGAGTGCGCTGAATTCTCTTAAGAAGTAGGTGCACTGGTCATCCCCATTTTTCAGGTGAAAAAACAGATGAAGAGAGAGGTTCAATAATTTGCCTGAAACTTCACAGCCTGTGTGACTGGGCCAGGCTTTGAACCCAGGAATACTGGCTCCCACACCTTCTCTCTTCAGCATTAAACTACACTGCCTCCCTGCATGCCTTCAATGCTCAAAGGTTCGCAGGGACCACAAGGGTTCCCACTGACGGAATCACCTTCTCAAGTAATCATTTCTAAAGACATCTATCTGATCCCATCAGTCCTTGATGCAAAACCTTCCATGGCTTACTAACTGTTTATGGAATACAAATCCAAACAACATACAAATGCCTTCCTCAGTCATACTCAGCTACCCCTCTGCTATCTACTCCCACTTTGAGCCACCCTACCCTCCAACAATTGAGAATTACTTACACCTCCTTGAATCCACCACAGGACCCTAAAAGCAGGCTTGAAAACCCAGCTATCCTTCCGCACTCCAGATACAGTGACAATTTAGAGATGCCAGGACAAAACCTCAGAGGACCAGGTTGGAAGGAAGCATATCCACTGAGAAACTTAGCACTTCAAAGACGACAAGCAGCAGTACAGCACGAACTTAAACTACACACGTAACAAGTAACATTAGATACACCCACTTCCACAAAACTCCTAAAAGTTTGAAAACAGAATCATCGTGGGGAAATTGTACATACTTTAAAACCCACTGCATAACTTGCAGGTTAAAATTCTTTTGTTCTAATCAGCATATATGCTTAACTGGCACAGTAGGGACCACAAAGCCCACATTTCCAAAGACACTCTGGTTATAAGAGTGTTCTAAATACATTAGCACTACACTCTGAAACCTCTCGTAAATCGCATTTATGACAAATGAAAACAATCAAATTTGGGACCAGGATCAGAGGAATTAATTCTCAGAGGTAAAGGAGAAATGGTCAAGCACCTCATTCCTGCAGAAAAACAAGCAAAATAGAAACTGTGCAAAATCAAGGACACCTGTGAGTCCACAACGCAGCCAGAACGTGGCTATCCCGAGTTGGTCTATTTCAATTTAGAGGTAATCTACTTGCGGTTTGTTTGACAGCTCCCAGGTCTGTAAATCTACACACTGCCCTCTGATGCTGTATTCACAGCTGTCATCGACTGGACAAAACCCAGTTTGTGCTTTCTTTGTTCAAAGAGAGAACATCTTTCTAATGGGCCACCTAAGTTCCAAACAATGTCCTCCTACCCTGTTCTGGATAAAAAGCTCACACATCACAGAATCATCTGACTTCGCCTACGTCCATCCCAATGTATCTCAACTGTGGCACCACTGGCACCGTGGACCAGATCATTCTTTGTTGTGGAGGCTGTCCTGTGCACGGCAGCACTATCACAGCAGCCCTGGGCTCCACCCCCTAAATGCCTCTCCCTGAGGCATGACAATTAAAAATATTTACTGGGGACAAAATTGTTTCCAGGTGAGAACCACTAGTCTATCCTCACACTCAGTCCATTTGGGAGATTCTCTTTAAACATAATTCTGTTTTCACCAGACTCGGCCACATTTTTACATTCTGAAATTGTTCAAAAGCAGTCTGCAAAACAGTCTTTGGTCTTGGGATTTCAAAAAAAATGTTCTTATTCTATTGTAACCCTCAATAAAGGTTCATTTGTAATGAGTCCACATCAAGCACCCGATTTGGGGCCAAGGTGGGGTGGGAGTGGACGTGGCCCAGATGCACGAGGGGGCCGATGCTGAAGACAGTCCTCGCTGACAGTCGGGTTCCTCTTCCGAACTCCCGCCAGGAGGGGCGGGCGTGTTATTCCCCCTGGATGTCCACAGGTGGCGTTTCACCCAGCACTTTACAGTTTGCACACTACTTCCCTCAAGAGAGCCCCTCTACTTGTTAACAGAAAACTCAATCCAAACTGGCTAAGCCACAAAGGGAATTGAGCGGCTCGGGCGACAGTCCCACAGAACGGCAGCTCTCAGGAGAAGTGCAACCGGCTCAGGGGCCAGTTTGGGTGCTGTTTCCCTGATGCTCTCAGCCTTCTCTCCTCTGTGAGTCGGCTGGTCTCCAGATTGGCTCCTTCCTGGGGGCACAATGGCTATAGAAGTTCAGTCCTAACATCCAGACACCACGTTGCTTAAAAGAGAGTACCTTTCTAACAAAGCCAAAGCCATGAACTTCATAACTGGACCGACTTGACTAGTATGCGTAGGGCTGAAGCATCCCTTTAGTGAGGCCAGAAGAAGGACACAGGTTGAGTGACCCAGGCCCTTGAACTGATCACAGTGGCTGAGGAGATGATGCTGAAGGATTTAGAGCTTTGGTTCTCAAAGTGTGTTCCCTGACCAGTGACATCACCATCATCTGGGAACTTGTCAGACATGCAAATTCTCCGGCCCTCACCCCAGA